TTTTATTAACTGTAGTAATCAAGCAAAAATTTAAATTTGAAACAGATAAATTGTTACGAAATTAGAACATGGTCTAGCATCTTAAGCAGTTAAGGCAGTTAATGTCGATAGATAATTTAACATATTTTATTCAGAGGAGAATATTGGACACGGTCCAGCATCTAAAAGCGGCATATAATGTTAACAGATTAGAATTTAGCATTTCAGAAAAGAATAAGATTAAATATCTGTTCGGCAAGTTATATTTCATTTTACATCATTTGCATCCGCCTAATATCGAGCAATTAAAAGCGATAAATAAAACAGTAAAGCAAATTCAACAAACTTTCTATGAATTTTATGATTCGGTACATAAATGATGGTAAATATAATAAAAATGAAAATATAATAAAAATATGTAAAACAAATTTTTCGATTTTTGCCATTTATTAGCTACTTTTATTACTAATTTTAACTTTAAAGTATTTCGTGACTTTCAACTTTAGAATTGTGTCAAAATTACCAGTTGCGAAAGTGTTAATTATGACGTCATATATGCATATTGCTGATTTTACAACCACTAGGCTCGACTGTTGATGTCTGAGTTGAAGTTGCATTTTTTATGAATATATTTCAATATTTTGTGAATCTTCAGTTCACATTGTCAATGAGAGAACATATTGCTTTCTTGTCTCTTCTCTTGCACAGGTGGATTTGTAAAAATGTATGATCTATATGTGAACTATACAATATTTTTGGAATAAACTTTTTAATGAAAAATTCCACCTGTATCTAGTATGGGTAAGAAAAACATTTCAAAAAATTCTCACAAAATTCACAAAAATCATGTTTATATGAATAACCCACATATTTATTCTTGTGTTAATATAAGCATTACAGTTTCTCTTTTATAATAACGTTTCAATGCTAAACGCATGATGAAGATGTACCATTTAAAAGTCTCGTAATATTCTGGGATAATTTAATCAGTTGCTGTATGATGATACTAGGGCGGATAATGTATCTGGTCTCGATATTTTCTACACGATCACTTTTGCTATTCTTTGTGCAATTTCTGTATAAGTATGTCGATCTAATTAATCTATATTGCACAGCGAACGGTAAAGTTCATATTAATATTTTACATTTAGCGCTAAAGGTGGCACTAAATAGAAATGCGGCTAGAGTTAAAAAAAATACGTAGGGCGTATAGGTGCGTATGTGCATTAATTTTCGTTATGTTAGTTATAAAAATAAAAACTTAAGGCTTCTAAGATATTTGGTAGTATAAATTTGCGGCTAGCTCGCTTATATTATACATGTGTGTTAGCTTATTTATATATAATGTATGTATGTATGTATATATATACATATACATGCATATATACGTATATATACGTATGTATATGCTCATATACATACATGCATATAATATGTATGTTTATACTATATATGTGTATACATATGTGTATGTGTGTGTGTATAACTTCGATATAAGCTCGATTTTGGCTTTATTACGTATTTTCAGCCTGTGGGTATACCGAAACGTATTTTATATTGGGTACACTGAAAAGCATTTTCTCTTTCACTTTCCCGTTCTCTTGACCAGGTACATTATCTTGATTAGTCGCGACGCAAATTTATAACCATCCTAATCACTAACGCAATTGATTAAAATAAATGGTCGATTTCTTATGGCTGTTGCCAAATAAATAAAGAAGTAACGTTTTAACAATTATCTTTTTATATTTCATCAGTTATTTTGTTTTCTACTTATTATTTATTCAAGAAATAAAGATGTACAGAAATAAATGTCACTACAGTGTGCCAATTTCGTGACAATCATCCTTGAATTATTTTTACAAATCTTACGATCTTCGAAACATCTGATAAATCTCGGTAATCTCGTCGACATGAGTTTAACAAAATTCTTAGAATTCGTGTACGTATATGTGTATATGTATAATATACATATGTATATATATACATATATATATACACACATATATACATATCTTTCTCTTACCAACTTTTTGTGCAATTATATTACAACAGTAATTGCAAGTTACCGATACTTACCTATTACAGATTTGAAGTTTTATAATGCCTGTATATAGTGTTATAATACACAGGGTGATTCCTAGAAAAGATGGAGTAATAAATAATACAGATGGTTATTCACACACAGTATTATAATTTTATACAACTCTATAATTAAAATTCTGCGAAGGAAACATTTGTCGATGGTTTTTCCTGTTTCCCAGCTTTCTCGAATCACTCTGTATATAACACCTGTTGCATGCATGCTCACTTATTCAGTTATATAAATAATATTTCACTACCTAGATACCTGAGTATCTCTTTTTCTTCCCAAATTAACGTTAATGTAGAATTCTAACATAAATGTTAAATAGGTCGAACCTTCATGGTTTTAGAAACATAATTTTCTAACAATCCAGCCGATTACGTGTTTTTTACAACTTTATAGATTAAAAGAAGCAAAGAATCGTAAATATAAAGTAATAATATGTGAAAATCTTCATTAACAGTTTACAGCTAAAAAATTATATTCAAATCATCGATTTTTAGTTACCTCATTTGTATGCTTAATCAAGACCATTCATATTATATATAAAATTAAATTAAAATAATTATCAATGGACGCAGCGTAAACAGCTGGAAGACATATTGAAGATAATCTTCGATTTTTTTATAAAGTACAATTCTCTTTTAGAACTGTGACAAGAACATTGAATTTTGCTGCTTAATTGCATAATTAAAAATTATCATAAATATTTAACGAAAAATTTCTTAATACATTTCAACTAAAATATTTTGAAGTGGCATATAAATTTGAAAACGTACTGTAATATCCTTTAGTATAATGAATCATTAGATGTTTAAGAGTGAGCTTATAAAATCTTTGAGGCGTCTTAAGAAAAATTGGCGACATAACTTGTTTTATTTGAAGTAAACGAGAAATTAAGTAAGCACTGAATATTTCGTACTGTGTCGACTGTTATCAATATTGATTTTGTATATTTAATGTCACAATGGTTTCATGTTGCGTTTGATATATATATTTCTCTCTTTTATATTTTATTATATTAAAAATCTTGAATATAACACTACGAATAATCATTTCTTGTCAACTTATTATTTTATATGAACACGTGTTGTACGAATGAAAAGTTAGTCCAACGGAATTAATAAAAAAAAAAACTAATATAGTCACCAATATTGCAGAGATAAATTTTAAGTTACACGTGTGTTTTTTTAAGAAATTAAAATATATTATTTCCGAATATTGGACTTTTTCGAGAGCAACAAATATAGAATATGGAGAGATATAAGTCGCCTCATAGACGATTGCACACTATGTTCATATTTTGAATTTGCAGCAATATTGTACTGGTACAAAGTCGTACCTAGAATGTAGTGCCGCGCACCACTCCAGGTTCGCTCGTTAGAATTTTGCATTCACGAGATTTGAAATCAACGCATCTTTAATGCGTGTTACATGTGTCGGAAGTAAATACGAGCTGTAAATCGAATCGGACAGTAACGACAATTCGATTCGTCACCAATAGTTTTTCACTTGGAAATTTGCTACGACATTCGAGTTACAGTAATTTTATAAGTATAACGAAATTAATTGAAAGAAAAGAAAAAATAGACACAAATACACTGAACATGGACGTAACGAAATGCCAGTACATTATCTGTAAAATACATTTTACACAGATCGACATAACAGTCTGAACACATAGTTACATAATTTTAGAGCGCGATTTCTTACTAGAGAATCTAGAATAGCTATGACCTTTTCCATGTTAAGGCTATTATATGTCGATCTGCGTACATAGAACTCCTAAATTCTATGTATTACAATGTATATTGTTAGAACAGCACGAAATTTGCCAACCAAATGTCGTTGTAATAAGAATTTGCGATAAGTACTAGCATGCTACTAATGAAAAGAAAGAATATTTTGTCAACTTGTATTTATGTTCATTAAGTATTTGCTCTTAAATACAGGTAATCTATTTGTTCATAAAACTCGCACATATGAACATACTCGGTAATAAAACGAAAACTTATGATAACGTAAGCACAAAGCAAATGGAAAAGGTATACATGCTTTTAAACGGCAAAATATTAAATACCGTCATTTGTATTGAAATGACACTTCTCCCGTTACAACTCGTTTAAAAAGTCTACCATGATTATTGTTATTATTATTTTTTTCTTTTCCTTAACAATCCACTTCCTTTCATATTCGTCAATCAAAGGCGCAAAAGTGAACCTATATGTTAGTATCAGAATTGAGTTTGTTGATCTTTAGTTCAGACGCGAGTCCAATGATTGGAACATCGGATATTGGGGGACGTCTCAACATTGGAAGTCGTTTGTTAACACAATTCCACATCTTAACCGTAATTATTCTCTAATCGTTAAAGATACATAGTAATTAATTAAATTTAATAATATATGTATCGACAGATTTCATCCTGGAGTGGTGCGGGCCGAGCAATAGCTCTCTTAAAGTCATCTTAGTGTCACATTCCTCCTGACTAATGGTATGTGAAAGTAATATGGAACAGTACCTTGCACTTGTCACTCAGTTTGAGCGCAAGCACGTGTCTTCCATCGCTGCGCCGTGCAATATGTGCGTGCGTGCGTGAACACAGGAACCAAGTTGTCTGTACATGTGCCGAGTTTGGTGTGTGTGTGTGTGTGTGTGTGAGCGCATATATGTAGAAATATGTGTATATGTACGCGCAGAATATTTCTTAAACTTTTCTCGCTTCGCATATTGATATTTTACTTTTCTTTTTTTGTGAATTTTTATTACTCTTCTTACGTACAAGTTGCCCTAAATTTCCCTCATTCTCCCGTCTCCCCTCTTCCCTCCCCTTCATAAGACGATGAATTTATGCCTCCATTTAATATCAAATATATACGGAAACGGTTATTTAAATTGTCCTGATTCAAGAAGAAAACACGCTCACTTTACATTCTAACTGAGATGATCAAAATTAATAGTAAAACAAAAGAAAATGGATGTTCCGAATCAAGTTATGTACATGTTTTTGTGGATGCCTACGAACAGTCCGTTATTATTACACACATGTAGACTTAATTTGCTTCTTTTCATATTGAGAATGGGAGCTACGCGCGTATCGTATCGGAATGACAAGGCCATGGTTTTTCTTTTGTTATCAAAGATGTTATATATAAAATATTTATTCTTTTTCTCTCCTTTGATTCATTGAGCAGTGGCATCTTACTCAGCGCATCTTATTCATTCATTTGTTCTGCTACGAAAATATAAAAGTATGTACAATTCAATAAATTAATCCCTGCTTAGGGCATGGAGATACTATGTGTTGTCCCGCTGTACAGTACTCGAGAGATGATTCAAAATCAACTACAGGGAAATCCTTAATAAAACTACGAAGATTGACCGACATCTAGCACAGATGGCAATAATGGAATTTATCCGAATATATATATATATTTATATATATATATATATACANGTAACCTGTCATCGTATAAAGTAGCATCGTAAAAAGCACTTTAAGAACTAACATCATAGTTTGCTAGTATTGGTAGAATGTACAGTTGTGCATTATCTTCTCTCCACGAAGAAGCTCACAAATTTGTCCAACTCGTTTGTATATATATATATATATATATATATATATATATATACATACACACACACACATATGTATGTATATATAATTCTACAATATCGTCATCGAAAAGTAAGAAGTAGAAAAAAAAGAAAGAAAAAGCAGATCACGAGATAAAGAATAATTTCGAATAGAAATCGAATCTTTCTCATTGTATATATACATCCACACGGATTATAAACGGTCCTGTGTTCACTATCACAGCAATTATTTAAGCAGCAGATCTCAATTAGGAAGAAATCTTGATTGAGACTTACATTCAAGGATTCAACAATTGAATACTCTGACGATCGAAAGATACTCAAAACAACTCACTGGACCCAACGGCTCCCTCACCACTCCAGAGTGCAATACTCTGTGTCCATATAATCGAATTGTCACTCTCCTCTTTCTTTTCTCTTTTCCACTCCCCCCCTCTCTCTCTCTCTCTCTCTCTCTCTATCTATCTATCTTTCTCTATCTCTCTCGCTTTCTCTCCCTCTCACACGCACGCTCTTTTGCTGCAGCATGTCTCTATGTACATCGTATTGATTTAAACGATATTTTACACGAATCTGCCTGAAGATTCTTTACGTTTTACTTTGGTAATTTATTCCAATAACGATCTTCTTGTCCGTTTTACTTTCCCTTTCCTTTTCCTTATAACGAATCCGCTTGCTGTTCCACCGATTGCTCACTATGGTTCTCACTGACGTGCCCTATTTGTTCGACCTGCACCGCACTTTGCTGCGCTGAATCCTCAGCTGGAATGAGTGTTCCATATTCACAACGTTCCTCTTCGTGGTGCTGCTGCTTTAAGGCCAAGTCGTTGCTGGAGAAACGGTCCGCGCCAAGTTCGTAAGAATCGGCTTCCTGAACTTTGTCATTCCCGTAGCTATGACCGGTAGCCTCACCGGCGTCGTGCTCGTCGGCCATCTGTGCGCCAGCTAGCTGACCCTCCCTGTTACTGTGCATCACATCTTGCTCCTGAGTCACCATCGACTCGTCCTGTTGCCTCAGGTGATCCGGTTGATCGGCGGCAATCACGGACGAAACTTCCTGCTCGAAGTTCTCCTTCGTCTCCTCGCCACGGTCCAAGACCGCCTTCATCTTGCCCTCGGCTTCCTCCGACGGCGGTACCTCCTCTACGTCCGTGTCCGTCAGCGGTGGACTGACATTTCCCCATCTGGACTTGCGGTTGCGATTGCGGTTCTCACGCTCGGACATGTTCTTGTAGTCCTGATGTTGCTTCGTGAGTTTCTGCTTGTCCCTCGGCAGATGATTCTCCCGCTGCCCGTGAACCACATCGGGTCCACCTTCCTGCCCGGACCACGAGGTGGACGGTCCTCCGCCTTCCTGATTCCTCCACGGTCCGTCGGGACCGTGCATGGTCGGCGGACCCATCGGACCGAACGGTGGTCGCAGATGCGGCCCCGGACGGCCGCGCATGTCGTCGAACGGTGGTCTGAAGAAGGAATCGGCCTCTCTAGGGTCGAACGGCGGACCTCGCGGCGCGAACGGCGGTCGCATTCCGGGCCTCATGCCTCTCGGACCCATGCCGCGCGGATGGAACATCAATGGACCTGCAAAAGACGCGGCATGGTGACACTCGCACGAGGTACGAATGCAAGCGACGCTGGCTGATAAAGCAAATTATTGCTCGAGCGCTCCCCCCCTCCCTCTCTCTCTCTCTCGTTGCGCCACATCCGAGCTGAGATAATCAAGATCTCCGGTCTCAGTGTTAAATTCCGATATGTATGTTTGAAATATGAATATTTACGAACTCTTCTCAGATAGTTTGCTCTGCTTTCAGAAGCAACCGAGATATTTCACACGAATACACACAGACAAATAGTTCAATGGCATATATAGAGTGTCTGACGCAAGCCGTACCGCACCCGTCACATACTTGTACATAGAGAAAAGAGTTTCTTTGGATTTAGTATACATGTTTGCTCGACTTGAGTTTTTTAAGTATAAACAACGTAATTTAATATCAAATATTTTATTTGAATGTAAATGTTGTTTCACCAGAGTAAACCACGTTGTTTGATAGAAGAAACAGTATTGTTTTGAGAAAATAATATTTCGTTTTCGATAAAAAAAATTCATTTCATCATATATTAAGTATTATTCCACTGAAATAAAACAGTTCTTTAATACTTCTTCGACATGATGTTACTTCTTTCAAATAATTTATTTATGACACCATTGTAATGTTTGGACGAAAATACGAAAGAAATATGTTATTTTACGTAAAGACATTTATTGCTTGAGAAACTAAACAATCTTGTTTGTTGAATCAAGCATTCGTTTGTTTACTCCATCCCAAAAGACAAGTTTGTTTCAATTAAATAAATTTTTTTAAATGCAAAGAAATTTTTTTTTCTATATAGTTTAGGTCAGTGTGGACAACAAAGTTTTTTACCATTTTGCGAACAAATGCACAAAATTTTGAGTCATTAATTAATTATCGAAAATGGCCATGTAAAGAGATACTCAAAAATTTGCGTGGTTATTTGCAAAATTGTAGAGGAATTTTTTTGCTCAGGGTGGCCTAATTTATAAATATATGACAGCTGTTGTACTTAACGACAGACATCAGTATATTGAACTTTGAACCTGTTCTCGCTAGGTATAACAGCCGCCACACATATTTGTATAGATTAGGCCATTTTGAGCAAAAAATCAATAGATTTTTTAGAAGGGTAATAACCCTTCTGCAAATAACTACGTAAATTTTTGAGTTATTAATTAAAGAATCTTCTATACACGATGATTTTCAATAAATAACTAAACATTATTTGTGGTTGTTTGCAAAATGATAGATGAATTTTTTGCTCATATTGACCTAAACTACAAGTGTGTATAACGGATACGGCTTGCGTTCGTCACTCTGAATATAAGGATTACAAATATACATGTAACAATATATATAAGTTTCTAAGAAATATATAAGCTATAAGCATTTATGAGTGCATGTGCGACATATACCTGCGGCGAATAAAGAATATTTGATATATTATGAATATTATACATATCCCAACTGTAAAAAATGTCGTACTGTTATTCGTTGCAAATATATAACCATTCTGGATAATAAAAAAATTCGAAATTAGTTCTAATAGGCAAATTCGACGAACATTTAACTAATGAAAATTAAATATAATTAAATATATTTATAATTAAAAATTTTTAAGGCAAAACATTCGCTGAAATTTTGTTCAGACTACAATAAAAATTCACCAATACGTCCCCGCCTAAATGAGTACTTCAAGCCGTAAACCTTAAGAAATTGACCGATCACAGTCGATTATTCTCTTCGCATTCGACTGTGATTGGTCAGTTCTAAAGGCTTGAAACACCCATCGCAGAGCTAAATCTCGCGCAATGTGTCGAAAGAAATGATTCCCGCTTTACACAATAGCAATTTACTCGAGGAACACGGCAATAACGGGACCCTATATAAACACGTGGACTTCCTGGAAATGTGTGCGTATCGAAAGATACGCGCATACGCGCCCATGCGAAGCGAGCATAGAGAAAATAGTGGCAAAGACTGTGTCTTACCGGGCCCTCTGGCTCCGCGAGGTCCGAATCCATCGGGACCGACCGGTCCTCTCGGGCCTTTGGGTCCCATCATCGGCGGCATCCCGAACACAGGCTCGATGGGGCCGAAGAACTCTCGCCTGCGCGGGTCGAAGTCAGAGCGGTCGTTGTGACCTCTGGGGTCGAAGCCGTCCTGCATCCGCGGGTCGAAGTTCTCACGCCTCATGTCGTATTCGAAGCGTTCGCGCTCGTACTCGTCGACGGGCGGCCGACGGCCGCGCACCTCCGCGCGATCGAACTCCTCCCTGGCTCCAAGCCTGGGCGGGAAAGGTTCATCGGCGCGCGGCCCGTTGTGCCCTACCATCCTGCCGCCTTCAAAGTCCTCCGGGAACATACCAGGCTGCATCCTGGGGTCCAAGAAATCGTCCATCTGCGAGTTTCTCAGGCCGCCGCCGCGGGGCGGGAAGTTTGGCCGGTCGCGATCGGCGAGGCCGCCCCGCTGTTGGAACTCTCGCGGCTCTTGGAGCGCACCTCCGAAGGCACCCGGGCCGCGCGGGAAGTCCGCTCGATCCGACAGTACCGCACCGAACTTGGGAAGATCCATCAGCGAGATCGGCATGTCGTTGGGTCGCCGTCCTCCTCCTGCTCCTCCTCCACCTCCTCCTCCTGCTCCTGCTCCTCCTCCTCCTCCCCCGGCTCCTCCTCCTGCCGCGGCTCCTGCAGCGCCGGGACTATCCTCGAAGCTCCTGTCGTTCCGCTCGTTGCTACGTTCGGTGCGATTGCCGCGGATATTCCTGTCCATCCGGTCGTCCAGTGTGCCGTCCGCCAACTGTCGCAGTCGATCCGCTAGACTGGGCTTGTTCTCTTTCTTCGCCTCGCTGCCCTCCTGGACGCTCGGATTCGGCACACCGAGTCCCTCCGGATGTCTCGGAGCGTTGTTCTCCCTGTTGTCTCTGGGAGCCTCCCGATTGTCACGATCTCCGCGTCTGTCGTCTCTCTCTCGCTCGCCGCGACCGTCACGGTTGTCTCTTCGCCGGTCCCGGCCACGGTCGCGCCCTCTGCCTCTGTCCCTGCTGCGGTCCATTCGACACTCGTTCAGGTCCATACGATCGCCACGGTCTCGCTCGTTCCGGTCTCTTCTCTCCCGATTCTCACGCTCGCGGTCCCGCTGCTCTTTGTACTCGCGAGCCTGGTCGCTCTCCATGCGAATCTCGGCGATTAGCTGGTCACTGAGGTTCGGCTTGTCCTTAGGCACGTTGCTGCTCAGGCTCGGCGGCATCGCGTCCTCCATCTCCACGTCCATGTCGTCCGAGTGATGTTGCTGAGGTAGTTGCATCTGCATCGCCGGCACCGGACCCACGCCGTACGGCTGCCGCAGCATCGGCAAGTTTGGCATACTGGTCTCCGTCGTCGGCGGCGGCACGCCAATCGGCGGGACATTGTGCGGCATACCTGCAATGTTTACATCCACTTCTAGACAAGTAGCAGGCTCGAGGTAAGTGATGATATTAGATGTATCAGATTAGTGGTGGTCCTAGGCAAGTGTTTGGAATGATTATCAAGGCTGCCGCAGAAAATGAATGTCCAAGTTGCCCGACTTTTTCACGTTTTCCGTACGACAGTTCTGGATGATTTTCCACGAGTGATACGTAATCTTAAACTTAAACATTTAGAAGCCGGAGTCGCGAGAAAGGCAGGTTATATTATTAGAAGAGCAATACGAACTTGAAAGTTAGTCATGTAATTCTGAATATATGCAAATTCAGGCTGACAAAAAGTAAATAAATATTGCAGAAAAGAACACGATCGGGAGCATTTAAGAATTGTGAGTAAAGTTCAAAATTCCAGGCTTTTATATCTTTCCCTGACATCTTAAACTTCCACGATTTTTCCCGGTTTTTCAGGTCTGTGGCAACCTTGATTACATCTGAGGGTGAGACAAAGGAGATGTGGGAGAAAACGCAACGCAAGACTTCTCTCATAATATCGCACGTGGAGAACTCTGGATGAGGTCAGAGTCACTTTATGCTTTCCTAAATAGAGCACTATGTTATTAGTAATAGTAGTAGTTATTAAAGTATTACATAAATTGTGTTTCGCTTGGTTAAAGAACTGTATATACCAGTGGAGTTCGGCTTGTCTGAAGGTGCGGCAGGCGCGGGCAGTGGAATTTGTGTGAGCAAACCTACGCCAACACCCGCACCAAACGGTGGATTTACCGAGGGTGTCAGCATCGTCTGCATCATACTAGGTGGTCCCAATAAGCTCTGCATGTTCGGCGGTGGAACTCCGATCGGGACGTTCGACATTAGTCCATGCGTCATCTGTATGCCCATGTGGCCAATCACTCCTACAAGATTCACGATGTTAAACAATTGCAAAAATCACTGCTGATACGTCTGTATTCTAATAAAGCGAGACGTTACTCACCTATTTATCATATATGTTTAAGTATAATAAATATAATAAAAATATTCAAGGTTCTTATCGCAACCTATACTCAAGTTTTTACCAATATGTGGCAAGATGTTCGCATAACTTTCGAGATATTTCTAACTACTACATCTAGATATTTTTATGCAACGTGCGACAGGACCGAATTTTTATGATAATATATTCTCAACATACATGTTATAGAGTTCCGACGATAATTTCACGCGACATAAACTCACGTGGTACTCCGGGCATGGTGAATGCCGGAGGCATCATTTGCAGCTGCGTGTTCGGCGGAGGCAGCAAGGCAGCCGACGTGGGGGGTCTGATCGGCGGTGGTTGACTGGTATCGATCAGTTGCTGCTGCTGCTGTTGCTGCTGCTGCGAATTGGCCGACGACTGCATGACGTTCACGATACCGTCCGTTAAGGTAGGAATAGGCGCACCGGCATTCGCTGCGGCAACCATCGCCTGCTGCTGCAACTGCAGCTGCTGCAACTGCTGTATATCCGCACTCGTGCCTGTGTGCTTCAGTTTTCCTTTAACACGAAGAAGTAGTCATTTTAAATGTTACTCTTCCAGAGTCGAGCTGTCCAGCTGTTGAACCGACGCCAATCCGCTTATCTGCACGTGTTTAGCACAAAGTCAGGTGGAGCGGGCTCTTCGAATCGGTGAGTATCGATCGATTTTTCCTCGCTGTCCGCGAAGACTATACCGAACCAGCTTTGTGATGGAGTGGGCGCGCGGTTAAAAATGTTAATTGACGGCAGATAGACCGTACAAAACGCGTCGGCGGATATTCAAATTGCGGAAACATACCCTTTAAATTAGGCGGTAGTGTGTCCTCGTCTATCATGCCACCTTCCTCTAACAATTCTAACTCTTGATCAGTAATGTTGGTTAACTTATTCCACGGGATATAACTGACGCCCAATTCTACTTCCCAGTAATCCTTCCATTCCTTGCCTTTAACGCCTTTACCGGGTGCCCATGCTAACTGTAATTAAGAGAGACACGTTAAATTAAATTGACCGTCTTTGTAAAAATTATGCGAGTTGAGACTTGAGCTGGCATTGACCGATTTATTACTTATTTTATACTAAAAAATTCATGCGGAAATCAACAAAAATATATTTAATGCAAGTCTTGTGCTCTCTATAGCACAATGTGACCACATTTTGGCAGATTGTTCTATCAGAAGCGTTCAACACATGTTTAAGGCTCGGCTCCCTTCGTTAGTTATATTAGTTTTGTAACGTCATAAGCGAGAAATAACATGCAGTAGTTTCTTGCAACATATAGCTTTACTTTTTAATTTTCCCCGAAAACACAATGATTTCGTAATCTTGAAATCTGTAAAATGTGCAGAAAATTGAGATGTCTGGCCGAGATGTTAGGTAGAATCGCAAAATAATTTTTTAAATAGCGGGTCATTTTTCAGCCATCTCAGCTATCACTGCCCAAGTATGGCTTGTTTATGACGTCACAAAACCCATACGGCTAGCGGAGGGAACCGAGTCTTAAAGCTCCTGAGTAGTTGCTGCGACTGTTTTTATTTAGTGAAGTTGGAAGCGAAAAATCGCATGCTAAAATATATCGCAGTAAACGAGGAGATAAAAGAAAAAAATATCCGGATTCTTTAACCCGAATGATCAGTAAGTATCCATAAAATTAACGTAACAGAAATCACGAGAAAAGATGTAGATTAAAAACGTAAGTTGTATATTATGTTAATTTTCGGCTACTTGCTGATTATCGAAGTTAAAAGAAAGCGTCTGAACTTTTACGAGTGTACTGAATCGATTACGAGTATTTTGTATGTTCTTTTTTCTCAATATTATATCTATATATCACGTGTATATTTCTGACTTCTGACGTCATCAAACAAGGACAACAGCCATAATGAGGACACGGGAGCTTTAAGAGGATCTTGAAATCATCCTGTTTTACCACAAATTTTTTAGTACCATATCCGTTACTGGTTGCACAAAATTTCTTACATATGTTAATGAGGGCGACGACGGTTGACTTTATTCGAAAAACGAAAAAATTGTATAATTTGTTAACTTTTTTCGTTCTTCAAATACAGTCAACCGTTGTAGCCTATGTTAAAGTGTGTATTGCAATTGTTCAAAAGGATTCTTAATCCTGTCAATAACGAATGTAGTGCTAAAAAAAATTTGTGGTAAAACAGGACGACTTCAGGATCCTCTTAACGATAGATCTTTCAAGATCCATAAATCTATCACGAATTATGAATCAGAAACGAAAAATGCGTCTGTTATGCTCTAATATAAAAAATATTGCACGCAATAGTTACTCACTGTGATAGCTTTGCCTTGCATCTTATGGTTTTTCAATTTTGTGAGTGCCCGATATGCATCCTGCCTTCTATTCATACATATGAAAGCGCAACCCCTCGGCGAGATCAAATCGATGCTGACGATATCGCCAAACTCTCCGAACGTGTCGGACAATTCTTCCTGATGCACGAGTTTTGACAAGTGTCCCACCCAAAGTGTTGTACTGCAAACTGCGAAATATCATACATTGAAATCTTCGCTATCTCTTGCACAAAAAAAAAAGTTCGCGAAGCTCCGCTTCGTGCCTGAGATCACATACCGCTCAATTTATCTCGAACTATCGGTGGCAAACCGCGTTTACGTCGCTCTCTTTCTTTCTCCCGTTCTTCTTCCGTCATTTTCTCTCGACTGTCATCGCGTTTTCTGTCACGACCCCTGTCTCTTGAGCGGGATCTGTAATAAATATGTATATTAAAAACAGAAAATTAAACAATACGTTAACGGCATAGATAAAAATGTTCAAGTTTCGATTGTAGAAACAATCAATTTAGACAAGGGCGAAAGATGGAGATTACTACCTTCTTCGGCGCGATCTGCTCCTGGAGCGAGATTTTCTGTCTCTATCGCGGTCTCTGTCTCTGTCTCGGTGCCGTGGGGACCGGGATCGGCTGTGGTGTCGGTACCGTTCGGGCGATCTGCTTTGCGAACTCGCATTCTCACAATTAACAATTTCTACACTGCTACTATCACGTCTAGCGCCGTTCCTGTAAAAAGGGAACTCGTTAAAAAGGAGGAACACAGCTTTACGATCGGAGAAGTTGCGGCGCACCCTCACCCAGAATAATCTTGCGTTTCTTGGCGTTCGTCGAGCAACGGGCTCTTTTGATTTTGATGCGCAGACTGATTGATCTGCCTAACATTCGATAACGATTGTGAAGTGTATGGCAGAGCTGGCGGATAACCAGGTGGCGGCTGGCTCATGTCTTGTATCACATTGCTGTTCGTGTTAGGTGCGTAATTTTGCGTATTTGGTTTCAGGATGTCAGAAGGCTTTAACTCGCACTCAGATGCAAATGGAAGGGTCTGAAATAAGAGAAAGAAACTCGATGTAAAACAAGTGCAAGTGGTCGGGGGTATAAAGAAAAATGTCGAATATTGAACGAGCAACACTGACAGGAACGGTTTGTGCTAAATGCTTATCGAACTCTTCCTCTTGCTGCTTCATTTGTTGAAGTTTGCGCTTTTTCTCCTCCATCTCATGCTGTGAAGAGGAGGTCGTCACACTGCTTTGCATACTTTGTTGTATGGTCTGCAATTGTCTGAGAACCTACAAATAACACGCCATGTATAAAGTGACGACACTGAAGCTTACTATCACTATTATCTAATCTCTAGTATTCAGTAAATACCTCGGGGTTCGCAAGTAACAGCCCTAGACTTTCCAAACTGTTATTCGCCGATACTGCATTATGTTGAGTATTCGCCGAAGCGGCTGCATTCGGAGAATTCGTCACAACAACATCATCATCCTCTTCCTCGCCATAATCGAAGTCTAACAGTTTCTTATCAAACTTCACAGAACTCTTTTGTTCGCTAGCCTCTTGCTTCTTTCTAATTAGTTCTTGCAAGTGTTGCAACTGGTCGATGAAAGCGGGATCCACCATCGAGCTAGAATTGGACTGACTCTGTAAAAGGAGATGTCAGGTTAGATAAATGTTGATTTGTCAGTCAACATAGTGTGAGATCATTTTTATTACTAAGAGTTTATTTGCATTGGCTAAAGTCGCCGCTTCCATTTTCGATTGTGCTAGCCATACAGGATCAATCGTTTTTCCAGGTGGGAATAGTTTTGCATCCTTCACAGTATTTTTAATTGTAGATGGAGGTGTCTTAGAGACAGCACTTACATTACTTATATTATTTCCGGCCGATGTATTTAATGTACCTGGAAACATTAAAGTATAAAAAACTTATTTAGCACAATATTCAAAAATATTTCATATTCAATTGTACCATTCACATCATAACTCATACCATTGCTATTTACTGGCTGTTCTTTGTGTATTGGATGGTTCGGATCTGCTAGATCGAAAAGTGGTTGAATAACTTCTGGTGGAAAAACCGCATTCTTCTGCCAAAGATTTAGTACACGTATAACTTTGCTTTTATCTTCCTGCGGGCATTTTAAAAGATTGAGAAAAGTGTTTTGCATATTCTTTGCAAATCTCGGGGCAAATACATCTTTCTCCATTCCAAACTGATGTCTAGATTGTCTGACAATCGAATCTATAACGTACAATCCTGGTACCTTGTATTCAGGCTTGCACTGAAAAGAAAATAGATTAATTTTAGTTAAATTGTTGTATCTCGATTACATCTCGATTTAATAAGAATGCAATTAAATAGATATATTTACTTTTAGAATGAATTTCTCCACACTTTGTACGACATGCTTGTAGAATTTTATTGCTTTAATGGCTCCTCGTGTAAGTGAATTCATTTTGGCTTTTGAAATAGGTGGCTTAACATCATAGAGAGCAGAGAGCTGTAAGAAAATCACAATCAATTGCATTTTCTCAGTAAGCAACATTTATTGAAAATAAGAGACAATATTTCTACAACTATCCCTTGTATCCCTTCTCCAGCATATAATTCTAACACAAAAGATACAACACACCACAACAACGTAAAAATCAATGTGCTGCGCTTGCACTCCAGCCCTGATGAGTGCATAAAAGCTGGTGTATGAATGAAAACATGATTTGTGCCTTATATTTATATTATTTAAACCAGAAAAATGTAACTAGACACCTCCAACGAGCACGTGTAGTCATTTGGTCGAAATTGTTTGAGTGCTCTATGAAAACAAGCTGCACGAAATCGCGAGGGGCGTGCAGATCGCGACGAATCGCGGTCTCTCTCTCTTTCCTGTGGACTTTGGCGAAGGAAGTACGCCGAGACCGCGTGAAGATGCGCTTCGGCAAGACGAGATTCGACATTATACGGTTCCTTTTATCAACGAGTTGATCTCAGGTAAGAGGAGGTGGAATGGGACGAGTCGAGGTGGACGAAGGGGAAAAGAAAAAGGGCTAGTTGCCCCTACGACGGTGACCTCTAAGACGTGCACGTACAAGTGGAGGTTCCCGGGGTAGTCGCTTACCTCCGCATTGAACGCCTTTACCGCGTCCATCGCGGCTGGAGGAAAGCCCTCGCGCACTCGGGTTATCGTCAGGCTTCACGCGAGTCCCGTCACAACACAATACCGACGGTCCATTCGTGATGAAACTCGCATCTCTTCCTCAACGCGCACTGTGTAGCCGAGCCATGCCATTCAAGATGGCAGGTCCGAGCTGTTTCCCGATACGCATCGCGGGCCGACCAATGAGTGACGTCACACCTGTCGTTCAACCGGTCGGTAACGCGACGCTCGTGTCCTCTTTCCGTGAGACGGTCTTTCAAGGAGGGCTGGGCGATGAATAATCGAACGAATCGTCGATGCTTGATCTGTTGTTAAAGAATGTCGAATTTTCTGTCGAAAGATATCGTTATGTGAAAATAGTGAAACAAAATATAATCGAGCTTGCTGTTGAATCGTACGTATCGTCAGGAAATAGAAGTCCGTTCGCTCTGTTCCTAAGTTGTACTATTTGAAATCAAGGCTCCGCCGTTTACTTCGCCGTTGAGTTGCACGATTCGATGCGGTATCTAATATTCATCCGTATTTTAGTTTTCTTAGTCCTGGTCTGGAATAACTTTAAGCTTTAAGTCTTAAGATGTTGACCAATTACAGTCGAAGGTGAGGAGAATACTAAATTGTGATTGGTCAATTTCTTAAGGCTTAAAGTTCAAAATACATGTTTCTTTGTGGACCGACACTGATGGTCTGGCAGACCAACGCAATGTTCAATGAGCGACGCGCTGGCTGCGAGAGCCATCTGACGATATTTGTTTTCTTCGGCTGCGTTCTGAAATGTGCTGACAGTATTGAAGCCCGTATCAGACTCACAGGCATCTATAGGTCTGCTTGTTTTCGTTACACTAAAACTGCACTAGAACTGTACTGAACTGAACTGAACCGCACTAGGAAAGATTAGTACAGAATAGTTCAGTTCAGTGCAAAAGTGCAATGAAGAAGTCTGTTCGTTTTCGCTGCACAGCTGAAACGCCAGAGTATAGTAAACAACATAGCGCATCACATGGCATTATTTGATTCTTCTGACGAAGAGGATTTTGTTGTAATACAACCACTATTATAACCCATTGTAGATGAGAACGATGAATGTAATATACAACTAAATATAGCAAATTTATTAATAATTTACAATATTATATACCCTATCGATTATAAATTTAAACAAATGACTAAATATAAAATAAATATAAATATAAAATTATAAAAATATCTTGACATCTTAAATTCATCCTTGTGGCATGTTTGGACATTACTGCTGTATATGTGTGTGTTATGGTATAATATTAACAATTTTTGAAAATGGAATAAAGAAAATGTTTCACACATTTCAATATAATGCAAGCCACATACCTGATAGAGACTTTTCGTATAAATTTCCGTTACGCTTACGTGCAGTTCCAAGCTACACTTTCATGCAATGCACTGACCACACTATCTCCTGACTCAGTGCAACAGTTCACTGAACTACCTGCACTATATTGCACTGCGAAAACGAACAGCATTGATGACGTTCTGATGACGTCATTTTCGATACAAAGAACGCTTTAGTGTAAACTCCTTGCACTAGTGTGCATTAGTGCAGAAAGTGTTTCGAAAAAAAAACAGACCTTATAATATACTAGACCGCGAAACTCGTTATTTACTTTCTAGATAAAATATAGCCAAAAACTATATACTTAAATGCAGCATTGGCGGCGGACTTAGTAACCGATTGAGGTTGTTTTCCTACACCTATGAGATGCTAAGAGAAACATACCTAAGCAGCACGTAAAGAGTAATATAATTGGTGATACTACAACACTTTTGCTACGTAAGATATATATTAAAGGTTCTAAAACGTATGTTCTTCGAACATTCCCACTTTGTTTGAATATAACCAAACCAGGTGAACGTAAAACGAAAGTTCCTCGAACGTTTACGAGCTGCTTGGGATAAACGTGTTATCTGTGTCCAAAAGTAACAATGTGCGAAATGTCCGCTAAATGTAAGTTATAAGTTATATAACTTATAACTTTTTCTTAATAACATATTAACTTTTTTGTACAAAGTGGCTTTGACTATATTTTTATATTTACTTAATATTAAAAAATTATAATTCGTGTGATGAATAAAATTGTGCTAACAACAATTGTGTGAACACAATTTTTAATCTATTTTCTATTTATAAAATACTCGAGAAAGATCTGTAGAATAAATAAAATAAATATTCGCCAGAAATATTAAATAACACTAATATTGTATAAATATTACGATTTTCCATTTAATTCTGTAACTCTCATTAGTAACTTACAAATATTATATTGTACTACATTGTAAACTGGTATATAAAATTATAAAACTGATATAATGTTACTATTATTTAATATTTATTTGAAGAGTAATACTTTCACTTCATTAGATATTTATTCATGTGTAATAATATAACCTCGTAACATTCACCAGACGACAAATTCCAACCGGTTATTATATTGTAACGTCCGGACTTATTTTGGAACATTAATAATATATTAGTATAGATCGGAGGCCGAATTGTCTGATTTCAGACATCATTAGGTTAGATATTCATTAGGTATAGATATTTTATCCCTATGTTACTAGATGTAAGTACGTGCGCATATGTATATTCGCGCGCGTTAAAAATTATAATTAAAATTATAACACCGAAGAAACGACACTGCGTGTCGTTAGAGAGTCTTAAAATCGATGGATCAATAGACAAGAGAAACCGTAATCTCTCAATGCGATAAGGCGTCCCGCTGCTAACATAAACAGGAGCATGAAAACTGAGTCCAAACACCACTCAGAACCGAGGCGGCGATATCGACGCGATGACATCATACCGATGGAATGAATTTCTTCCATCTCCATGACTCCATCAGCCAACCAGAAAACGACATATAAAAACGTGCGCATTCGTTGAGAAGGCGATTATTTTCTCGTAATTAGTCTCTGGTACTCGTGTACTTATATACTTTGGAATATATTAGTCGTAAAATCCGACTGTGTAGCAATTACTTTTGTCTATCCTTCATTTCTCGAACGTTGCGAAATCGAAATTCGGAATCGCGGACCGCATCATCCCGCGCAGCGCCGGAACATTCGAGACCAAGCCAGAATGAGCGGCTCTGATTTCTCGCCAGATTCATCGATCATTTCGCGAGACTCCGGAGACCCAGGGTAAACTCGGTGAAAAGCAGAGTGACCCAAAAGCGGAGCCATCACTCTGTTGACCGTCCACGTAAGTCACTGATTTTACTACTTTCAAATTTTCGTATATAATTATCTATTGTGGACGTAATAATATCATGTATAAATGCACGTTATATACCGATACGTTTAGAAAGCCCAGGTTCACAGTCTAGTATATTATAAACCAGTATTCATATTCAAATCTTATATTTATGACCGTCTTATGTTTATTTTCCGATACTCTATGGTTCATTTCACTGGCTATGAAGCATCAATGGATAAATCTAAGACAATCTTATATATAAGATTTGACTATGAATATCGACCATAAGTGTCTGCGATCAGACTACAAATTAGGATTGAGTTAAAATTTGGCCAATCAGAGCAAAATTCACTAAACTTCAGTTTAGTGAACTTTGCTCTGATTGATTAAAATATTGTCACCAATAATATATACACATATAAACCAAGTATTCCCATCTATTTCTAATAGCAGCAAGTGATGGCTTCTGCTCATAGGACGCGGAAAGGTTTGTCGTGCGACAAACTACGCGCGAATAAACTTAGTCTCTTACCGAAAAGCAGCAAAGCGTCCTGTGGCCTTGAGTGTACAGATATGGAGGAGGAATGCTGGAACCGAAAGTGTATTCAAAGTATGTACGAGAGAAAAAGGTATACGAGTGAGATTCGTTCTCTCTGCGTATGTGCCACAAGTGACGTTATTTCAATTTCAAGTAGTCTGTAGAGCTGCGATAGAGCCTATGGCCACCGCGCGTGTAGAAAGGAAAAGGAGGAAGAACTCCAGTACGG